ATGGGTTAACTACTCTAACAATTCCCAAATTATTAAATCGATCAATTGAAAAACCTAAATCTAGCTTAAAGGCTTGAAAAGGGAGAAAAGATATCGCCAAACCAATTCTATTTCTTCATGTTCAAACCTGCCAAAATAAGCCATAGAAGTTACGAATGGGAATTTAAAAATAACAAAGAGATAAAACGAGAGATTTCACAAAAAAACCATCCAAATCTACTACTTTAATCTACCTTTGGCCTAAACCACGAAAATCTTACCAAAAAAGGATCTATCTCCCTGTCATCGTCGTTTTTGCCGCCGACAGTATTCAGGATCGCCGGCGGCGGCTCCCCTTCCTCTCCTCCTCGGCGGCCATTTCTCCCTTCATATGTCTACCTCTCGCCTCCCCTCGATCAGACCAAAAAATCAAACACAGTAATCAACATCAAACCCCATAACTCCCCTAAATCAACATGCAAACTCTGAAATCCTACCTCCGACCATCATTGTCGGCAGGGGCGGACCCAGGGGGTTTTAGGGGGTGTCCCCGGACACCCCTAAATTTCGGGAAAATGATTATCCAACCCCCGGTGGTATTTTACGTATAGACAAAAAAAATATAATTGATAGTGAGGGACACCCCTGAAATTTGAAAAAATGATTATCCTACTGTCATTTGTGTATAAAAATATAAATGGTAGGTTGGGTAATTCAAATCTAGAACACTATTATTATTAATAAACTTAATTTCCGGTGAGCTACAACTCATTTGGTGTTCGATTTTGAACAATGTGTAATAGTAAAAAGTCATTCCCTATCTCTAATTATTTCAATCTAAACTAATTTCAATATACCCTTAATTTGTATTGATTTTATGATTGTACGACAAGTGTTGAAGAGTCTTTCAGATTTGGTTTACATCAAGAACAAGTTTACAAATCGAATATGCGATAAGTTCCTGAATGATTGTCTAGTAGGGTATATAGAAAACACATCATGGACTTTTTTAACCTGTACGAGTAAGGTATTTTCATATTTACGATTTTATTTTTATTTTTATCTAATTTATTTTTTAAAAGAGGACACCCCTATGAAAAATTTATGGGTCCGCCACTGATTGTCGGCGTCAATCGCACTCGATGTCACTATCTCGGTCTATCGCCGACGACACCTTCTCTCTCTTTCTTCTCCTCGTCCAAAACATCAACCAAAAACCAAAAATAAAAATGGAGTCAGAACCCAGAGGAACCCCAAATCAGAATAAAATCCAAAATCAAAACCCTAAGATTCGACATGAAAAAGCAAAACAAAACCTAATTTTACATCCGCCACCGTCATATCCGTCATCGGCGTCCTTCGCCGTCCTCCACTGCACTGTCGTCGTGGATTCCTTGTTCCTTTCTCCTTGCATTTTCCAGAAAGGAAAAGAGAAGGGAATGGTTGGCTCCTTCTCTCGTCGTTGTCGGAGAACAGGCGGAGGTGAGACGAGAGAGGTGAAGGTGAGAGCAGATCAAGAAGGGGGAAGGAATAAGCTTTCCTTTCTTCCTTCGTCGTTTTGGTTTAGGACAGAGGCGAGGCTACCGGAATTGAGAATCCGGCGGCTAGTTTCTCTTCTCGGTTTCCAGATGACGTGAGACTGAGAGAGAGTGGGGGGAAGAGGTTGGGAGAGAGAGAGAAGAGAGATACTCCGAGTGGCGCCTAGGGTAGAACTACAAATGAGCCGAGCTGCTCGCGAGCGGCTCGATGTTCGACTCGAGAAAAGCTCATTCGAAACTCGGCTCGTTAATAAACGAGCCGAACACGAGCTAACCTTTATTCAGCTCGTGAAGCTCGCGAGCTAGCTCGACTCGGTGGCTCGTTGAGCTAAACTCATGAGCTGGCTCGTTTAGTGCTCATGATATGTCTTAATATGTGGCTAGAGAGCCAACTCGATTACCAACTTATGGACGAATCAATCTATATCACATGATTTTAATTCATATAGTTGTTAAATTATATATCTCACCATATATTAAGTTTAACACGTTGAGTATGCGAGCAAATATATCTTATTTTCTACTTTAAAAAGAAATTATGCATCATAAATTGCTTCGATACTATGAAATAACATGATTTGGAGTAGTTAAAATTTATTAACTAAATGATATATGATACCAACAAAGTATAATATGAGATTAGCTAACAAAATAAATCATATGTACCATGATATACAAAATGAAGTACCAAATAAAAGTCAAGATTTTAATAAACAAGCTAGCTCGAGCTCGACTAGACTCGGCTCGTTATTAAACAAGCTGAGCTCGAGCTCGACTCGTTTATTAACGAGCCGAGCTCAAGCTGGGGTAAAACTCGACTCGACTCGGCTCATTTGCAACCCTAGCCTAGGGTTATGATTTTGGCATAAGGAGGGATTACACACCCTTGAAGCTAAAAAGACCAAACTGCCCTACCTGTTTTCACATAAATTACAGCAATTGCCACCGTCCTCCCCAAGAACGATGCGTCGTCGTCCGCCCAAGACGCCCCCCAAGTGACGTCGTTTCATTCAAAACGACCCGAAGAAAGCTAAACAAAAAGGCACTTCTGCAGGATTCGAACCAACGACCTGATGCACACCGCACTGCGTTTCAAACCCCTCGAGCTAGCGGCCAATCTTTGGCAAGATATTAACCTCAACTATTCTTAAAAATTAAATATGTTTGAAAACTTATAAAAGTCCTTAATTCGAAATAGGCAATAGGTCATATTCGTTCTCGTGTTAAGGTTTCTTCCTTAAGTTATCAATCCTTAACATTGTATTTCGAAGAATTGAAAATGGTTTCTCTTTAAAATGTTCAACCTAAAACCCGATCAGTAGAATGTGTTAGGGTTTCTTTCTAAGAACCATCTAACAAATTTTCTCCCATTTGAAACAATGTTAAAAACTTTCTCCACATTCTAATGTGTGAGACTCAACATTTTAAATCCTTCATTTTAAACCGAACTACGTGGACTTTGATCCCGACTACTCAGGTACGTAGGCAACCAATAGGTTTCAAGTCCAACTAATCAAAAACTTTCTCCACATTTCAACGTGAGAGACCCAACGTTTAAAATCTATCAACATAATCGAACTACGTGGACTTTGATCCCAATTAACTCGGGTACGTAGGCAACCAATAGGTTCGAGTCAACCAATCTAAAAACCTTTTCTTTACGTATCGTCCAATTGGACTCTAAATAATACATCAAAAATAATAATCCAATGTTATGATTAAATACACAAATAAGACAAGTAATAATAATACACCCAACCCTTAAATATTTATCGATTTAAGTAGTACCCATTTAGGGACGATGTGGGGGTGAATACACTTCCCCACACGTAAGCGTACTCCCGAACCTAGAAAAATCCAAAATTCGCAGACCAAATCTCGATTCTAACCCTAAGGTTAGAGCCGGACAAAAAGGTGTTCGATCCACCACAAGTAAGATCGTTGGCGACTTCGAGCGTGACGCGACGGATCCTCCAATTTCGATGACGATTGCGAAAACATATATAATAATTCACCTGCAAAAATCCTAAACGGCTAAACTTTTCTCCCCAACCCCACCCACATCTTTCTCCCCCGCCGCTCACAGCCTCACACCCTCCCTCTCTCAATATCTCTCACAACCTTCCTCTTCCTGTCCCGGACTTAGGGATGGCAACAAAATCCGAACCCGCGGGTACCCTACTCGACCCAACCCGGTCAACGCGAGTAAAACCCGTGTTGACGGGTTTTGGGTCGGGTTCGGGTTTAAACCCCCTACACTATCACCGGGTTGGGTTGGGTTTGGGTTTAGGCAAACCCGCCCCATGGGTACCCGCCCACACTCATATAATTAATTTTTTCGGTATATTTAATATTCTAAACAATATATTTTCCTTAAACAACTAATCTTCTTTATGTTTGTGGAGGCATGTCTAATTTGTTCTTTCTAATTGTTTACGATGAAGTTGATATTATGGAGTGGAGAGTGAAGAAGCTTAGTTGACAAGGAGGAAAGAGCTCTCAATTAATCATGTTGTTTATATATGTTTATCTTTAATTTTGAACAATTTGTATTGATAATTTGCGGTTTGGTTGTATGCTCTAGATTGGTTTTTTTTTGTATGGATAATTTTTATGAGAAAATTGATGTTAGACTTTTATTTGGAAGAAACTTGTTATTGTAAATTTTTTACCGTAAAAATCCACGGGTACCCATGAACCCACGGATACCCATGAACCCGCGAATACCCAGCGGGTTGGGTTGGGTTTGATTTTTTCAAACCCAGCGGGTTTTACCCTGGTTTTTTTACGGATAAACCCATGGATTTGGGTTTGGGTTTGGCAAAACCCACCCCAACCCGACCGATTGCCATCCTCAGACTCTCCAGTCTCCCTCGCGTACCCTTCCCACCCTCGCTATTTCTCAGTAGCGAGTAGTTTCTCTTTCTTCTTTTTTGGTAGAAAGTACTTTCTCTTTCTGGTTCCCGATATATGATCCCATCTATTGAGCCCTCTCTCTCTCATTCCTTCTCTTTATATTGAGATTTCTATCATCAATCAAAACTCAAACTCCCAAGGCGACGACATCGATTATCAGTCGAGAATCCAAACCGGCGATGACAACCAAATTCATTTTGTCTTTAATTTTCTTGTGTAATAGTGAAAACCAGTCGGTCAGTTCAGTTCGAGCGGTTAACCTTGCGGACCGCTCACCGACTGGCTGTTTAGGCCATTATGGCTTTTGGGATGTTCAAAATCGGACTAGAGGGTGCGTGTCCAGTGGCTGAGCCAGGAATCATATATAGAAGTGTCCTCTTTCAAAAATTAAATCAATAATTAAATAATTATTAAATAAGAAAATATTTAATTAGTACAAGTTACACCAAAAGTCCACAACATGTTTTCAAATTCCGAAAAAGTTATAAAATACACCCGTTGTCTACATGACTCAACAAATCTCTTTATCTTACTATACAATCATCACAAACTGATCGCTTATTCGATTTTGAAATCTGTTCTTAAAATATCACAAAGCTGAAAATGTCATTTCAACACTTGCAGTTGCAGTCGGTAAATCAATAACTTTGAGAAGCAAGTAAACCAGTGGAGAGGGCCATCCATTTCGGTCCACTTCCCTCGAGCCTCCTTCACTTCGAGAGGGCCATCCATTACAATGTTCCAAAGGTCAGGATCTGTTGACCCTATGAAAAATTCCATCCAATTGAGCCAGTAACCATAGTGAACCCCTTCAAATCTGGGTGGTCGTGTTTGAGAAAATCCGTCCGCCATGAAAATTCCGCTCGCTGATCCCGAACTCGTCGTCTCCGCAGGCAATTAAGCCCTTGCTGCTGGAGCCGGGCTCTGATACCATGTGTTGGTTGAGTCGAGCGCGAGACTCTGGCGACGATTCCCTCTGCCTCTCCGATCAATTGAGACTCTGCTTAACCCTAATTTCGATTTTGGCAAGAACAAGTAAAGAAAGTGGAATAAGCAGGAAAACGAATCGATGAAAGGGTAAAATGACTTCCCTTTCGTGCTCACCAAAACGACAACGAATTCGAAACTGAGGCTTGAAGCGGGCTGGGCTTAGTTTGTTCTCAATCCGTCGATTTGAAGTTGGCCCAGATCACTTGCATGGAACGTGATAGACCGTTAATTACACATGTTTTTACCCCTGTTCTTACACCGTTTGAGATGTGGTTTCTCGTGTTTTAGACCGATTTCACGCTAGGTTGGGCTTGTTTGTGATATTTCAGGTCCTGGCAAGTGAATGAAGATTTAGGAGCGAGCTCGGGGTCGATTGGGCGAAGATCGGGCGCGAGGCAAGTCACAAAGGAGGACGCACGGGCACACCCACAAATCACACGGCCGTGCAACTCATATTTCTGGTCGTGTGAGATTGTGCGAGAGCAAACACGGCCTGCCCTGACAACACACACGGCCGTGTGAAGGAGTGGCTTGGCCGTGCGAGTTTTGCCGAGAGCAAACACGGGCAGATGGAAGTCACACACGGCCGTGCCACTCTGGCCGTGTGAGAAGCCTGGAATTCGACTAAGTGATACGGTGTGTTTTGCCTCACACGGGCAACTGGGTAGGCCACACGGCCGTGTGGCCCTGCCCGTGTGAGTCGGGATTTCCTGGTTTTAAGCCAAATTCCGAACCAAAGAGGAGGAGAGCTGGGTTTTTGGCTCCCAAACACCCAAGGGACGAACCAAAGAGAGAGAGGGCGATTTGAGGGCATTCTTGGAGTAGAGAAGGAGGATTTCTTCGCCTTGGAAGCTTGAGGAACAAGCCCGGACTTGAAGACTGATCATCTGGAGATTCTTACTGCAGTCTCTCTCTTCTCTATGGAGTAACTTCCCTTCACTTAGGTTTTGAGGAACCCTAGCTATGTTTGTTTGATTGGATGATTGTATGAGTACTCTGACTGGATAATTTTGAGTTCATATTCAATCTATGCATGTTTTCATGATTCAATTCTGCTTTAGTCGAGATTATTGATTCTGCTTTGATCCTATGAGAGGGAATACCCGATTAGGTCAATAGAGCACCATAGATTGATAGTAGTGGATCGATTGCTTTAGTCGAGGGTTGATTCACTGCTTTGTATCGATTGAGAACCTCTTTCGATAGAGGGAGTCTAGTTCAGAATGCCTTGATCAGTTGTTCTAGAGAAGGATACGTCCCTCTAGGCAATTGACTCAAGAGGGCCTTGTTCCTTTAGTCGAGACTCAAGGTATTGTGAATGAAAGTGAAACAGGTTAGAGATCATCAATCATTAATCTGGCTAGTGGCTAGGGGGAATCATACCTAAGTGAGTTCCCAACCTGTAATTAGATTAACTTTAACTGTAGTTTGCTAGAGTAGTTTTAGTTCTTTCATCTTAATCTGATTTGCTAAATAATAAACTGAAGCTGAGTAATAGTAACTCTAGAGACCCGTGGATTCGATATTTATCACTTGAGCCACTATACTGCAGTCCCTTTCATTGGTTACACTTGGCCTTTGTTAGGTGTTGTGTTTTAGAGCATCAAGTTTTTGGCGCCGTTGCCGGGGACTTTCTAGAGTATTAGGAAAGGCAGAAGTTTGTTACTTTAGCATTTTTCTTTTCTTTTCCACCCTTGCTTTTCACTTGGGTGTTTTTGTTTTTGTTGGTGCAGATCTGAATCATGGATCCTAAGGTGGAAGAGGCCTGCACCGGCCATGAGTTACATGTGATATCTCCACCAAACTTCGAGGAACTGCTTAGCAAGGACCCATTTGCAGTGTCTCTTTGCCAGACGAAGGCCACCTCGACATCGGTCCCTCTTGGTGGACGCGATGGTGGCCAATCGATGCTGTCATATCTGGTTTGGGGCAATGAGACGAGAGAAGAGAAGGAGAGTTCTCGAGGGTGGAGACTTCATCTGCATCAAGTACATGAGCCTTCATCACCTGCCACACCACATGCTCGTGACTTGAGACTCCACCTCATCGACGAGAACCTCAACTTCAAGGAGGTTCTAGCATGGACCGAAACTTAGGAGCCATCGTCCGGCTCACGACGTGAAAGAAGCGCTTGTTGGGAGGCAACCCAACCAGTCGGTTTGCATTTCTGTCTCTATTTCTCCTCGGTTGAGTCAGTTTTGCTATTTGATTTTAGAGTCAATAACTCAACCTTTGTGAGATTTTGTGTGGTGTTTGTGTTCTGATTACTCTCTCTTTCTGGATGGCACCGCCTGACTCGTTTATCATCATTCACCCTTGATCTGGTAACTTCGTTCTACCCTCCTTATCTTTCCTCCATTGAGGACAATGTCGTGCTTAAGTGTGGGGGGGGATGTTCGATTATGTATGCGGGTGAATGTTTGGCTGTTTGTGTGCTTAGAGCCTAGTCCACTGTCCAAATTTTTAAATTTGAGGGCTCCAAGTACGTGTTCCTTGCAATTGCCTGCTCAGTATGCTTTGAATTGACAGTCTTTATAGTAATATGCAACCTAGGGAGGTAGTGTTACACTATGGAGGATGTTGATGCATTTAAGAAGTCTCATTACTTCTTCATATTGAGTTGGTTGATTGAGTGAATTAGTGATCTTAGGACCCCTGAATTGTGTGGTGTTGTGGATTCTCTACCTGTCATGGACTCTTGTATCATGTTTTAAGTTTAACAGGTGCTCGAAAATGTGCTTCAAAATAACGTCTCCCGTGCGAATAGGGCGAACGTGTGTAAGGGGAGATGGGAATCCGTTCCCAATTTCCACCTACTACCTCCAGCCCCCTTACATGTCTTTCCCCCGCACGAGGCTCGAGACATCCGCTCCTGGCATGGCTGGTAAGAGCAGGTTGGGACCCTTGGAAAAAAAAAAGAAAAGAAAAAAATAACAGAAAACAAGCAAAACAGAAAGAAAAGGGGTTCCAACCATCTTCAAGAAGAAAAAAAGAGAGCACCTTGAAAAATGTGAGTCCATGATCTTTTGTTTTTGAGAATCTCTTCATCCACAATTCATTTGTCCTCTGTTCACTATTTGCCATTATGCTGACTCGATACTAGTGCTCTCGCCGAAGAAGCTATGAGATGACTTGTGCGTTGGTTGACCTCGTAAGTTGCTAAATGATCTAGGAAGTCCTCTACCTACGATCTGGGTTGTTTGTTGCTATAGAAGTCTGGAGAGCTGCATTGGTTTGAGTTAGGCTTGCTTGGGGACAAGCAAACGGTTAAGTGTGGGGGGGTTTGATAGACCGTTAATTACACATGTTTTAACCCCTGTTCTTACACCGTTTGAGATGTGGTTTCTCGTGTTTTAGACCGATTTCACGCTAGGTTGGGCTTGTTTGTGATATTTCAGGTCCTGGCAAGTGAATGAAGGTTTAGGAGCGAGCTCGGGGTCGATTGGGCGAAGATCGGGCGCGAGGCAAGTCACAAAGGAGGCCACACGGGCACACCCACAAATCACACGGCCGTGCAACTCATATTTCTGTTCGTGTGAGATTGTGCGAGAGCAAACACGGCCTGCCCTGACAACACACACGGCCGTGTGAAGGAGTGGCTTGGCCGTGCGAGTTTTGCCGAGAGCAAACACGGGCAGATGGAAGTCACACACGGCCGTGCCACTCTGGCCGTGTGAGAAGCCTGGAATTCGACTAAGTGATACGGTGCGTTTTGCCTCACACGGGCAACTGGGTAGGCCACACGGCCGTGTGGCCCTGCCCGTGTGAGTCGGGATTTCCTGGTTTTAAGCCAAATTCCGAACCAAAGAGGAGGAGAGCTGGGTTTTTGGATCCCAAACACCCAAGGGACGAACCAAAGAGAGAGAGGGCGATTTGAGGGCATTCTTGGAGTAGAGAAGGAGGATTTCTTCGCCTTGGAAGCTTGAGGAACAAGCCCGGACTTGAAGACTGATCATCTGGAGATTCTTACTGCAGTCTCTCTCTTCTCTATGGAGTAACTTCCCTTCACTTAGGTTTTGAGGAACCCTAGCTATGTTTGTTTGATTGGATGATTGTATGAGTACTCTGACTGGATAATTTTGAGTTCATATTCAATCTATGCATGTTTTCATGATTCAATTCTGCTTTAGTCGAGATTATTGATTCTGCTTTGATCCTATGAGAGGGAATACCCGATTAGGTCAATAGAGCACCATAGATTGATAGTAGTGGATTGATTGCTTTAGTCGAGGGTTGATTCACTGCTTTGTATCGATTGAGAACCTCTTTCGATAGAGGGAGTCTAGTTCAGAACGCCTTGATCAGTTGTTCTAGAGAAGGATACGTCCCTCTAGGCAATTGACTCAAGAGGGGCTTGTTCCTTTAGTCGAGACTCAAGGTCTAGTCAAGGATTCTCCGCATTGTGAATGAAAGTGAAACAGGTTAGAGATCATCAATCATTAATCTGGCTAGTGGCTAGGGGGAATCATACCTAAGTGAGTTACCAACCTGTAATTAGATTAACTTTAACTGTAGTTTGCTAGAGTAGTTTTAGTTCTTTCATCTTAATCTGATTTGCTAAATAATAAACTGAAGCTGAGTAATAGTAACTCTAGAGACCCGTGGATTCGATATTTATCACTTGAGCCACTATACTGCAGTCCCTTTCATTGGTTACACTTGGCCTTTGTTAGGTGTTGTGTTTTAGAGCATCAGAACGCTGCGTTTCACAGACTCAGTTTCCTTCTTCTCACCTTGTGCAAATCGATCAAGACCTGTTCTGCACAAGAACTTGAACTCGCACTTAACCAAGAACACAAATACAAACTGGAAATAAGATGGAGCAGAATAAAAACACAAATGAACACAGTCACAGTATTTTTACGCGGTATCCGGTGTTAGGTGATTAATGAACCTAACACCGACTAATCCACGGTAGAAGACTCTCCTCTTGAGATCTCCTACTTAATCCCTGCTAATCGACCAAACTACTAATCTCTGGTGATTCAAACTCCCCATTTAATCACCCTAGTTTTCCCTGCTAATCTCCCCGATTTGATTTCACGATTATACAAAAGATTTTCGCTCTTTCTAGCACTCTCTTTCGTTTTCAATCGCTTGGAAAAACTTTACTACTTCTGATCCCTTACTCAAACTATATACTCTTGCTGATCTGAGGACCGTTGAAGATGAATCTGCCCGGAGAAGGTAAGTATTTGGTTCTTTCCCTTTCTTCTTGATTCTGGTTTGACTTTCCAAAACTGCCGCGCTCAAGTTATGATGCAATGTGCTGCTTTCTTCTCTCAACATTCCCCCCCTAAGCATGTCATTTGCTCCAATATGCTGATCTCATGATTAACCTGCACATCTTAGCAAACGATTGGTACAACCTGTTCTAAACAAACTATACATTTACAGGCTCTGTAAATCACAGGATGAAGGCGAAGTTCATTTTATTCGAAAAGCTGCAGGGAACACATCGAGTGACTGGACTTAGACACAACACATTGATTAACTAGACTTAGAAATCATGACAAATCAAAGAAAGGTCTTCAAAGCTACTCTAACTGGATTGCTCCCCCTAAACTGGTGCTCTACTTAAAAAGCATATTCGGGTGGCGACTCATAATCCGATATGCCCTCTGCTTCTTCCTCCTGAGTGTTGGATAACTCAGACTCCTTTTCCATCTTGATCCGACCATGATGGAATTCTAAGCTGGCTAGTTCTTTGCGCTTTATAGCAGTGATTTGTCTGTTGAGTACTGCAGATGCAGCCTCCACAAGGGCAGGAATCAACTGCTTAGGATCGTCAGCAGTAGCATCAGCAGACTCTCCCCCTGAGCAAACGGCAGGCTTTCTCCTACCAACCTGGGTGTCAACACGAGTAAGAATGTGTTGAGCACGCAGATCTTCTCGAACATCACACACCAGCCATTTATCGCGAAGGTCAATTCCAACTCGATACAGCAGACGAGTGATTTGGGGGCCAAAAGGAAGAGGGCCAGAATAATTCTCGTCGCCATACTTAATCATATGAGCAAACATGAGCTTAGAGAAGTTAAGTTTGACCCCATCACAAGCATTCACCATGATCCAGGCATTAGCAGGATGCACAAGTTCAGCGGAGAAAATACTACGAGGAAGCAGAACCCTTGTGATGAAAAAGTGAAGTAATTTAAACTTATCTGCAAGGCGACCCACAGTTAGTTTGGAAGGGTAGTATCTCCCAATGTCATAGGTGAGGGATTCAATGGCTGAGCCGAATTCAAAGCCAATGGAAGCAAAGTCATCATTGGTGGCAGCAGAAGATCCGAAACAAGGAAGGTCAAGAGTTTCAGCCAAGAGAGAGGCTGTAACTCTGATTTCATGGTTATACACCACATGGTGAAAAAGGAGGGACTGGAGCCAAGGCCATGCTTCAAACTAGCATAGAACATCCTGACCCCTTCAGGACACTGGCTGAATCGTTGGTTCTCAAATAGAGAATCCCAGCCAAGCTTGTGAATAAGATCAGGAACATCCAGATCATATTTCCTGAAGGCAGAAGGTTGAATGGGAAAGGATGGATAGAGGGGACGATTATAGAAATGAGTGAGATACCTAAGGTATCGAGACGGTTTGTGAAACCCTTGATTGTTGAAGGTGGCAGCAGGATGGAGTTGGGGATTGTTTGGGGCCATTTCGGAGTGGTGTGAAGGCAGTTTGAAAATTTCTATGTTGAGGATGCGAAGAGAATGAGTCGTGAGTGGATATAGGAGGTATGAGTGAAGTGAAAGGGAAGGAACCCTAGGTTAAGGAAAGGAGGGATTTTAGTCTGACAGTTATGGTAAGATGAGATGAGAAAGAATATTATGGAGGGTTTTATGGAAGTTCAGAGATTTCTTCCATTGAGAAGAGACCAAGCTCTCTCCTAATGGAAACAAATTTGTCAGCACTCAAAGGCTTAGTAAAGATATCAGCCCACTGCAAATCAGTGCCAATAAATTCAAGATTAATTTTACCTTCCTGGACGAGATCTCTAATGAAATGGTATCTAACCTCAATGTGTTTAGTCCTAGAGTGCTGAATAGGATTTTTTGTCATGTTGATAGCACCAGTGTTGTCACACATAACGGGGAAGGATTCAAACTCAACACCATAGTCCTTGAGCTGGTATTTCATCCAAAGAAGTTGTGTACAACACAGACCAGCTGCAATGTATTCTGCTTCTGCAGTAGAAAGAGCTACAGAACTCTGTTTTTTACTGGACCAGGATATAAGAGAGGAACCGAGAAAAGGATAGGCACCTGAGGTGCTTTTTCTATCTACAGAACATCCTGCGTAGTCTGAGTCAAATATAGTTGACTAATTCTAGGCTAGAGTTACTCGAATACCAGAGACCTAGGCTGAAAGATCCATCCAGATATCTAAAGATGCGCTTGATAGCAGAAGATGGCTCTCCTTAGGATTTCTTTGAAAACGAGCACATACACAGAAACTATACATTATGTCTGGTCTGCTAGCAGTTAAGTATAGCAAAGAACCAATCATACCTCTGTATAGTCGACTGTCTATACTTTTTCCTGATTCATCTTTTGAAAGTTTACTTGAGGACCCCATAGGAGTGGAAATGGATTTTAAGTTATTAAGATTAAACCTTTTAAGCATGTTATTGAGGTACTTAGTTTGACTAATGAAGATTCCATCTTTAGTTTGCTTAATCTGTAGCCCTAAAAAGAAGTTGAGTTCTCCCCTAAGACTCATTTCGAATCCACCTTTCATTGTATCAGCAAATTCCTTACACATTTGTTCGCAAGATGAACCAAATATGATATCATCCACATACACTTGCACAAGTAACATATCTTTACCCTTATTCTTGATAAACAGAGTTTTATCCATGTGCCCCCTATGAAACCCATCATCTATTAAAAATTGACTCAACTTGTCATACCAAGCTCGAGGAGCTTGTTTAAGACCATACAAAGCCTTATTCAGTTTGTAAACATAGTTAGGGTGTTCATGATTTTCAAAACCGGGAGCAGATGTCTCGAGCCTCGTGCGGGGGAAAGAAATGTAAGGGGGCTGGAGATAGTAGGTGGAAATTGGGAACGGATTCCCGTCTCCCCTTACACACTTTCGCCCTTTTCGCACGAGAGACGTTATTTTAAAGCACTTTTTCGAGCACCTTTTACTTCAAAACATGATACATGAGTCCATGACAGGTAGGGCGTCCACAATACCACACAATTCAAGGGTCCTAAGATCACTAATTCACACAGTCAACCAACACAATATGAAGAAGAAAGGAGACTTCTTAAATGCATCAACATCCTCCATAGTGCTACACTACCTCCCTAGGTTGCATATTACTATAAAGAATGCCAATTCAAAGCATACTGAGCAGGCAATTGCAAGGAACACGTGCTTGGATGGTCGACGGGGCAGGCATACATAATCGAACATCCCCCCACACTTAAGCACGACATTGTCCTCAATGGAGGAAAGATAAGGAGGGTAGAACGAAGTTACCAGATCAAGGGTGAATGATGGTGGACGGGGCAGGCGGTGCATTCGAGGAGGAGAGAGTAGTCGGAACACAAACACCACACAAATTCTCACAAAAGTTGAGTTATTGACTCTAAAATCAAAGAACAAAACTGACTCAACCAAAGAGAAATAGAGAAAGAAATGCAAATCGACTGGTTGGGTTGCCTCCCAACAAGCGCTTCTTTCACGTCGTGAGCCGGACGATGACTCCTAAGTTTCGGTCCACCCCAAAACCTCCTTGAATTTGAGGTTCTCGTCGATGAGGTGGAGTCTCAAGTCACGAGCATGTGGTATGATAGGTGAGGGAAGCTCGTGCACTTGATTCGAATAACGTCTCCACCCTCGAGACCTCTTCTTCTCTTCTCTCGTCTCATTGCCCCAAACCAGATATGACAGCATCGATTGACCACCATCGCGTCTACCAAGAGGGATCGATGTCAAAGTGGCCTTGGTCTGGCAAAGAGACACTGCAAATGGGTCCTTGCTAAGCAGTTCCTCGAAGTTTGGTGGAGATATCACATGTAACTCATGGCTGATGAAAGCTTCTTCCACCTCAACTTCGTCCTCGGCCTGGACGCCAAGTGCTTCTTCAACCTCCCTTCCTTCTTCATGGGGTATCACCCCTGGGAAATGATCTAGAACTCCTTCTGCTTAATTTTCGTCATCCTCCACAACTTCTTTCTACACCCTTTCTCGCTCTTCTTCTTCTAGGACGGATTGGAGAGCAAGTTGCCAAGCAATTTCTTTCTTGAGATTTTCTTGCATCTCCTCACTCATGCCCGCCTCTTCAAAGCTTAATTTGGGATGTGGGAAGGTGTGGTCGGCTACGATAGGACAGTCCTGATCATGATCATCACGGGAGCTCTCCGTGACAACTTCAGTGTGCTCCACAATGTCCTTGTAGCCTTCTTCTTCCTCCTCCTCATCTAGTATGGTAGCAGAAAGGTGGTCTGGAGCAGGTTGTGCATAAGATCGCTCAAGATCATCGACGCTCTTCTTAATTCTTAGGAGGATCTCCTCTGTTTCACGATAGGCCTGGGTACAAAGATCCATCCTGGACCATGATCTCTCACTGTCTCGAGCAAACTACTCCATGAGAAGCCTCAATTCATAGTTTAGATCTGGTTGTGGAGTGTAGCATGGCTCTGCAGAATGGCTTGTGAAGGCCGCCATGGGTAACTCCAGCTCCGATGGCCCTTCTGGTTGTGGGAGAAAGTCTTCTTGGTAATGAGGTTGTTCTTGATATGCCCAGGGGTCTGATTGTTCTCAGTAGTAAGGGGGTTGGTACTGGAACCCGAATCCATAGTCTTCTCCTCCTTGATTGCTCCAGGGGGTCTCGGGGTAATACCACTCGGACGGTGGTGGATGCCCCCAATGGTTGGAGAAGCCATGAGGATCCATGATTCAGATATGCACCAATAAAAACAAAAACAAAAACATCCAAGTGAAAAGCAAGGGTGGAAAAGAAAAGAAAAACGCTAAAGTAACAAACTTCTGCCTTTCCTAATACTCTAGAAAGGCCAACTCCTCACAAACTTGACTCGCTATGGCACAACTCCTCACAAAGGCCAAGTGTAACCAATGAAAGGGACTGCAGTATAGTAGCTCAAGTAATAAATATCGAATCCGCGGGTCTCTAGAGTTACTATTACTCAGCTTCAGTTCATTATCTAACAAACCAGATTAAGATGGAAGAACTAAAACTACTCTAGCAAACTACAGTTAAAGTTAATCTAATTACAGGTTGGGAACTCACTTAGGCATGATTCCCCGTAGCTACTAGCCAGATTAATGATTGATGATCTCTAACCTGTTTCACTTTCATTCACAATGCGGAGAATCCTTAACTAGACCTTGAGTCTCGACTAAAGGAACAAGGCCCTCTTGAGTCAATTGCCTAGAGGGACGTATCCTTCTATAGAACAACTGATCAAGGCATTGTGAACTAGATTACCTCTATCAAATGAGGTTCTTAATCGATACAAAGCATTGAATCAACCCTCAACTAAAGCAATCGATCCAATACTACCAATCTATGGTGCTCTATTGACCTAATCAGGTATTCGCACTCATAGGATCAAATCAGAATCAATAATCTCGACTAAAGTAGAATTGAATGATGAAAACATGCATAGATTGAATATGAACTCAAGATTATCAAGTAAGAGTACTCATACAATCATCCAATCAAACAAACATAGCTAGGGTTCCTCAAAACCTAAGTGAAGGGAAGTTACTCCATAGAGAAGAGAGAGACTGCAGAAATCTGATCTAGATCTTCAATCTCCATCTCCAAGCTTTATTCCCGAGCTACAATGGCGAAGAAATCCTCCAAAATATCTCCAAGAATGTTCCCAAGTCGCTCTATCTCTCTCTAGGGTTCGTCCCTTGGGTGTTTGGGATCCAAAACCCAGCTCTCCCCCCTCAAAAATCGCAGAAAATAGACTTATACCCGAGCAGGGGCAGAAACACGGTCGGGAACACGGTCGGGAACACGGCCGTGTTTAGTTCTGCCCATGTTTTGGTCTCGCCCGTGTTTTGAATCCCTTCAGCAGTCTTCACAATAGAGGCTCGGCATAAAAAACACTGGCGGGGGCCAGATGAAGCACGGCCGTGTTTTTAGTGTAGTGTGCCCGTGTTTTTACTGCCGAACATGTTCCCCTATATTCAACGTTTCGTATCTCCCTCATCCGGACTTTGAATCAGTCGGCGTTTGATCCCAGATGCTCGTAGTCTCGTCCTATTTCTTTTCATGACAAGATTACATGATTCTTTGTCCATAAAGTAAGTTAGAAATCCATTCTTCTTCAGGTCATGCCCGAGTTTCTTCTCCCGAATCGCCAATTGATCACTGATTGACTTGAAACTTGCGCCTATACTTCACTTTATGTGCTAGGACCTGAAATGTGACAAAGGAACACAAACTAGCGTTAAATAGGCCAAAGAAGCGATAATGAAATCTCAAACAATCGAAAAACAAAGGGGAAAACATGTGCAAATATCGTGTCATCATTGTTCCACATAGACTTCTTCTTTTAAATCACCGTTCAAAAAACACTTTTTACATCCATTTGGTATAATTTAAATCCTTTTGAGGCAACAAAGGCACACAACAGCCTTATTGCTTCTAACCTAGCCACTGGTGCCAAGG